CCAGTCATCTATTGACTCATTTGACCAATCGGATTCCTGCAACCAGTTAAGCTCGTCGTCCATAGAGGGCGTCGTGTTTTCTAACCAAATATCAAACCAATCACTTGAGGATGGGCTAATTTCTAGTAACGATATCTCGTCGCTAGAGGGCGTTCAACCATGCTCTCAGATAATCCGCCAATTACAGGCTAAAATGCAAAATCACGATTTTACGTTCTCGTCGCGAGAGGTCGACTTTTCATGCTCCAATCCGCTCGACCAATCAGACTCGTATGCAAATGAGATGCGCTAAACCGGAAGTTTGTGAGAGAAATCATTGTCTCCGACCTTATATCTCAAAATTAATACCCCAATACCCCAAAGAGCTAGCTGTATGAATCGTGCGAGCCGAATTGATCAAATACTGACCTGAAATCTGGCCAGGCTGAAACACTCACAAGACCGCTTTGTCGTCGCTCGGGGACAGTCCGCACTAAAGGGCCTGGCTCAGTTTCTGGACGATTGCCGGAGGCAGAGAATGGCAAAGAAGGCCCGACAGGAAGCAGTGGTCAGGATGGGAGTCAATGCTATCAACAATCACAAACCCATGGTCACTCGGGATAAGAGGCAAGTTGTCGGCCTCCCGGGACTTTTTGGGGACTTTACGTCGACCTACTTGAGGAGCTTACAGGAGAAGACGCGTTCCTAGGACCATTGCGGACGGCGATTATCAACAAAGATGTGCAATCTTTTAACAAACTGGGGGCGTACATGGCCCAATTCAGGACAAAGGCGGCGGTGGTGAACAACTGTGTCCTGATAGATAACAAGCTGGCTATACCCGAGCAGCTTCGGAGTGCCATTCTGACTCGCCTTCACCGATCACATCCTGGACAGGCGGCTATGATGGATGCGTCGGAATACATCTGGTGGCCGTTCCTCAATCGTCAGATAGTTAATGTCTGCGAAAAATGCCCAAATGTACTCTATTTGGTAAGAATATCAAAACTTCAACAACTTATAACTCTGCCAAGCCACTACCAACGTTGTCAGCTCCAAATCAAAAAATCCAACTTGATTTTGCGGGCTCGATAATTGATGATAATGAGGGGAAGATTTATATCTTAGTCGCAATAGACCGTTTTTCGAAATACCCTTCGGTGATGTTAATTAAGACAGTAAGCGCGAAAAAAATTGTCAAATTCTTAAGATCGTACATTCGTAATCATGGCATCCCGGAAACCATTATAACGGATCACGGTTCTGGATTCAAGCCTGATGTTGTTAAGGAATTTCGCAAAAGCAGAGGCATAAAACATGTCCTCACAGCCGTGGGAGATCATCGAAGTTGCGGGTTGGTTGAACGGTCAATTCAAACCATTAAACGGAAGTTGGGAACCGAAAGATTAGATCCTAGTATTAAAACTTGAAGTCAACATTACAACAAATCGTTGACGATATTCGAAAAACAAATCATGCTACATTGAAAAAATCTCCTTTTAAGCTACATTATGGGAGAAAGCCTAATACGGAATTCTCATTAGCACGTGATAATGTTGTTCATTCTCCTACTTCAGCGCAAGGACTGGAAAGAACCCTCCTAACACCGGAGCAGCGGTCGAGTCGGGACTACAGCCGGGATAGTGCTAAAGTTGTGCCTAGAGGAGCTTCACACGGTCCAGACATTCCCTTCAAGTTCAATCCACTTTTTGGAGTGGGTTGTAGGATCGCGGACAGTCAGACATGCAAGGCCCTGGAGAATCTTGCTAAGGCGGCGAACACTTGGAGCCAATTGAAAAGTAATGTGCAACCGCAACAGGGCCGCGAACTTTTCCGTGAACTAACCGCCCGTAACAGTGACCTAGCTACCTCATTGAAGTCTGGGATCACGAAGGGGACATTACGATTCTATGATCACGTTAGAGACCCGCCAGTGCCAGCCTTATCACATTCTCAGCGAGTGAATGTGTCGTCTTCAACGAGGCCAAAAAGACTCTCAATGACACGTAAATTACAATAACTAATTTTATAAGACCCCATAAGAGTCAAAATCTTTCGAAAAGTGCTTGATCGGAACTCACTACCATTACCGACAAGGGAAAAGTCTATCGGAAAAATCATCCAAGCTTAAGACATAAATTTAACTACCCTAAGTTTTCAGCTACGCCTGGCACAGTTGGAGAGAGACTCCAAAGACAGATTGATCCCCGGCCTCACTCTCAAAAGTCTACTTCCCCAGTTCAGCCGCAAGCCAGTGTACCTTCCAGAGGCAAGGTGATAGACCTTACGGCGGAGTCCTCAAGTGAAGACTCGTTCATCACTGGACCACCGCTCGAGATATTTGAGGCACCCGGATCAACGCCTCAGGGCGCAGCTCAGGTGAATGATTCACCACAGACGACAACTATGCCACTAACCACTGCCACAGCTCCAGTCTTGTCGAAGGAAATTTTGGCGACGCCTCCTGAACCGCCCACTCAATCGGGGCCACAAACGTCAGGGGATGGTCAACACGGTGAGGTTCAGGGCGCTGCTACCTCAGAACCTACTGAAGTCACTGATCAGGCGAGTAGTGATTCAACCCGGTCTTCAGGACGCTCCAAGAAACCTACGAAGTTTTTCGGTGACCCTCTTCGCCACTCTGTCAAGAGTGTCACGGAATCAGAGTCTACCGAACAATCGCCACAAACACCAGCCCTAGAGCAGATGCCTACTACACCATTCATCCCAATTGGCCAAAAAGGAAGTCAGTTGCCTTTCCCAAGGACGAAAGACCAAGCTACTCCCTTCAAGAGGATATGAATTGAGGAACCTGAAAATAACTCTTAAACTTGAAACTCGCTCAAACTTTCTCATATTTTTCGTTTATCTGTTAGATTGTTTTCGACTCTCAGCAAGTGCGATAGTGTATTAACATTTCATTCCGGCTACTCAAAAGTTAAAAAATTTATGCTTCGATAAATTTTCTTTCAAGAAATTTTCATTCATTTCTTGTCATTCTGCAAGTCATCGTGAAAGATAACTTCTTCTAGATGCCAAATTTTCCCACGTTTCTACTATCATTTTCAGAAGAATGCCATTGTAAGTATCCACAAATTTATAGGCAACTGAATTGAAGAATTGGTAATCACTGCGTTCGTTAATATCAAAAAAAAACGCAGAGTCTTGTTTCGTTAATGATTACTTCAATTAAATGGAAGTTTGGATTTCAGTATGTAGGAGTCAACTGAAATAGTGCTAAGGAGTTGGAACCAACTTAATACCCTATGATATTTCTTTGGGTTGTTTTCCACTACCCCTCTTATTTGAATTTCAGTTTCAGAAAACTAACTTTACGTTGCCATAATTTAATGAATTTTTGCAGAGTGAACATTTTGTACAATAGTAACATCGCACATTCAGTCATAACAACGTGTAAAACAAGAGAGAAAATTATATATTTGAAATGTGGGAGAAAATGTACAGAGCTTTCTTTGACCTACTTGAGTTCGCGCGGATCAAACTATCATTGAGCTAAATGTCTTTAGGCTAGAGGAGCTTCGAATACAAAACTTGAAGGAAACCGATACTCTAATTTCGTTATTTTCATGATTATTTAATGATGGCGCGTTTTTTTATCACTATTTCAGATAACACGCCCCCTTTCTGCAAAATTCCACTCCCGTTTCCAGCTAACATGAAATCTAAAATTTCTAACTGTTTAAAAACCATTCTGGTAAATAATGTATTTCGAAAACGTATTGGGCATTTTTTTTCCAAGTTAGCATTCATATCACAGACAAAGGGCTGGAACAAACGGGTTAGCACAAAAACATGATTCAGCATAGCCAACAGACCGCTGCAAGTGTCAATGAGCGCAAGGAAATAGAAAAAAATACATATTTTTGGTGGGAAAAAGGTGAATTTTCAATTTCAAAAAGCTCTTCAAATTTCAAGAACAATTTCTGGTATAATTAAAAAAACCCTATTTATGAAAATTTGATCATTTTTTTCTGCTGGGAAATCTTAAAACTAAAATACACTTTTGTAACTGTCGATCACGTTTTCTGTGACCTTAACACTTTTTGCAGCTCGATAGTGATTTTCCCTTCCAAATCAACGGCAAAAAAAATCGAATTAAAAAGAGCAAAACAATCATCACGACCTATAGAAGTGTCTTCGCTACGCTCATTGACACTAAATAACAACTCTGTTTTCTGTCGATGATTAGTTTAGCATTTACAAACCGAGCATGCAAAGATCTCTGGTACAAGCTGTTTGATGTCTGCACAAATAGAGTTGCAGCATTGATTTGACATAAATTGAAGCCTGATTCATGTTTGCGGGTTCATGATTAAGCGTCTAATTCATCTGCATGAATTCAAGATCAATCGCGATCCAAAGTTCAAAGATTGACCTAGATCTTTGCCTCGAAGTTTTCATTAATGTATTGATTGATACACTTTCCGCACTGATTATGTAACTTGAAAGATAAAATGTATTTACGCGGGAAAATAAGCAGAAGGCAGGTTTACATGCAAGCAAAGTTTTGGTTTAATTTCAAACTTCATTATCTAGCAACAGTCACGCATGCATTAGCATCAATATCAACAACATGGTTTTTTAGTCTCAGAGCAAACAAAAGAAATTAATTATGTAAAAAGCGCGGTGCTTAATCGAACAGAAAGTATTCTATCACATTTTTGGTATGCTTTTAAATCTAAAAAAAGATGGTATATCAATTTTGCACAACCTTTAAGAGCCTGTTCAAAAGTCTGTTATACACTTTACGGATTAAAACTCACATTGTTCATATTTGAAATGTCTATTTACTTGAAATGTATTAAGTATAATTATTCAGCCGATTTGAGAAATCATTGAATATTACATTCCGATGGCTTGATGCTGCCATGTATGTTAGGAAAAAGGTCTTTAACTTCAGCTTCAAACGAACACAATGAATTTCAATGAAAAATTATAAATCCAAACAATAAATGTTAGTTACTCAGGTCAACTAAAGCTAAATCATTTGCTGGAAAAAGTAGGGAAAGAAAACGTTATAAAAATAATACACTGATTTGACAAATTTGTAGTATGGAATTGCAGGTATTTTGAGCTGGTGAATTTTCGGAATTACAATTTAGAGAAAAGAACTATCTCCGGTAAACTATATTCGAGTTGCAAGGGAGCTAAGCAGCTTGCTGCAAATATTTTCCCCCTTTGAGGTTTCAGGCTAAGGAAGTGAGTGGAAGGGATATTACTTCAGTCAGGGGATATACGAAAGTTGCATTCGGCACCTGTTCTGTAGAAAACTATAAGTGACCATCACATTTGATTATTAGGCTTCTGTGATTTCGACTGTTTCTGTAGTTGGTTTGTTGCATTACTCAAAATATGACATCATAACAGATCACAGAACCCAACCACTAGGCGAATAGGAAAATCAAAAATAAACATATTTAAGGCATGAAAAGCAAGCGCTTGTGGGGCTCGAAGGCTCGGGATTTAGACATTCATTGAGGGCTAAACAGCATGCAGGTAGTACTCAAAAACAGAAAAAAAAATACCGAAAACTTCACTGATGTCAGCTGTCCTCTCAGAGTAAATTCTTTCACATAATTGTTCAGCTGAATAGCTTATTTGAGGATAACCGACAGAGACTTGAACAGAAATAGAGTATAAAGCGTTTCATTTCTATATGTGCGCTTCTGAAGCCATTTGCATAATTGGTTGCTATAAAAATTCGGATTGGTTATCGTCATTTATAATTTATTTGTACATAATTTACAATTCCATTGCAGTTCCTTATAGGCGATTACATGTAGTATTTCCATCATTTCTTCTTGCTTTCAAAACAAAACCACAACAAAACTAGTTTTGGTATTTTTCTGCAAAATAGTAGTAACTGTTATTTGTAGTAGTGAAGTTGCATGATTTGTAAGGCAAGACTAGAGTATCGCCAGTCAGCATAGAGTCGTGCAAGCGATCTCGATCATCTACGAAGAGGGCTTGGAGGATTCACATTGCCGAGCAAGACCTGCATGGCAGTCCAGAGACAATAATCATCTAGACTATTTTAAGTTAGATTGGGGAAGAGTAGTGTTGTTGATTGATAGTAGCCTATACTGTCTGTAGCTTCTTGTTGTTGCCTGACTTGGGCCTGTGATGGCTGTTGTGAGCTTCTGTCTGCTGACAAATCATGTGGTAGATCTCCCGCACACTCTGGAACTCGTTCTTCACCTGCAACAGTTTTATTTCATTTTTACTCGTATTTTCCACTTCAAACTGAACAGAACGATTTTTCATAAAAGCAGTCTATCAAATTAGACACCATTTATGTTCACAGTCTATTTGAGTTATCTAACTTATTTGCAATGACTTTTCAAGCTCTAGGTACGAACGAACCTGTGATTCGGACCCGTCCTCGAATATGTTTACGAGCCAGCTCCAGCAGAAAGAGAGCTGGCCACTGATTCTGAAGTGAGGGTTGTGTGATAGGAAGTGGTAGAACATCCAGACCCTGGATGCGACATAGTAAGCGCCCAGGATGTCCAGAGTATAGTGGTTGTGCGCGAGGAGGATGAGTGCTGCTATAGTCACACACAACACTGTGATCATCCGTTTCAGAGGAGACAGCACATCTGGGGTATCTGAAATGCAAAAAATGTTTAATACAGATAGAGTAGAAACAGACTTGTCATCTAACATTTTCATTACCAAACAGAGCAACAGTTAGTTGAAAATTGGTGGTTATGCAATCATAAAGTAACACGATATCAATAACCAATTTCCCGAAAACTAAAAAATACACACAGAGGCGAACCTCTTGCAACACAAAAAAAATTACTCTCACTACTTGCAGACGAACCGACAAATCGAACTAAAAAAACTTTTTTTCTCAAACCAAATTATGAAATTTGCAAAAAAAATATCTGAAATCTTGAAACTGAAATAACTTCAAATTTAAAAATTTTACGGAGAGGCGAAACTCTAAGTAGCAGGACAAACTAACCGACAAAAATAGAGATGAAAGCCAGATGAAAACTTTCGAAAAATTGAGCAACCAAAAAACTTCCTGAGTTTGCCTTGAATAAACATTCCTTTCATGAAAACAAGCCAATCAGTAGAAAGCAAAATCAGCATCGGAACAAAATTAACCGAGCAGCGACAAAGCCGAAAATACATAAGAAACTCTTCAGGCCAATTTTTTTTATTCAGAACTTTATATATTTTATCAATATATTTATCTATCAAAATGAATGAAGATAGTACTAACAATAGAATGAAACTCAGCATCAGAACAAAATTAACCAAGTGTAGACAAAACCCAAAAAAATCTGAGCAGAAGCTCTCAAATTATACGCCCCCTTCCCATCATAGCACACAAGCACAAAAAAACGACTCTGGACGAGACAACCTCAACAAACATTCATTCTCTCCGGAGACGGAGCATTATCAAAGAAAAACAAAAATCGCTACCTATGCAGAAGACGAAGCCACAACAACAACAACAACTAAGCCGATATAAAACAAGCCGAAACCTTTTAAGCCGAAGAAACCACAAAACGAAACAAAAATGAAATTTCAACAAACCGAGAAGTAAGAATACAACTAACTTAAGAAAAGCGGAGCGGAGCGTAAAAATTGTGTTTCCCCTGAAAAAAAATTAGAACAAAAAGGCAAAGCGGAGCTTTGCACCAATTGCAATACAACACAATCATAAAAAATGTTGAAAAAATTAGGTGAATCAAAATTTTCGTATCTCTCGATGAAGGACACCTAGGGCGCAGCTTAAGCTGAAGGAACGTGTTTGATTTTTTAAGTTGTCATTCTAATGCGGGACAAAATGCGTAATTTAAAAATTGGACTTTGCCTAAAACCTTAGAACAGTGAAAACTTTTGAGATTTTGTACATTTCGGAATGACACAAACTTTTTCGTACAAAAAATACGGCCGAAAAATCAAAAATGAGCAAAAATTGTTGTGTAAAAAGAATCATGAGTGGCCAGTAATGCCAACAAGCTTACTACTACGTATTATCTCCATTGATTCCACAACCTCAGGTTTGAGAGGTTAGTTTTCGAGAAAAGTTAAAAAAGATTCAAAAAACGGTAAAAAAAAAAATAGAAAATTTGACTAATCCGAGGTCCATAATTTTATGTGTAAAAAAGTTTGGGCGTGGCGTTGCCGCTTTCGAAGGGGAGCTTTTAAAACCCGTTCAATTCCTTGAAAGCAAAATCTCAGATTTGGCAGGTTAGTTTTTGAGAAAACGAAAACAATCCAAAAATATCGGTCAAATATGCTCCCCACAAATTTTTTCGAAGGCTGTTGACAAAGGGTAGAGACTAGTGGAGTATGGAAGCACATAAGAATGTTGCACACAAGAATCTTTTTATGAATACCCCTTCTTTGAAAATCGGTAGAAAGCTAAAGCGACTCAAAAAAAAACCAAAACCCAATCCCATACACTTTCATAATACCTGTTTTTATCAAGCAAGAATTCAAGACAAAAATGCCAAGCAAGACATTTGAAGTTCAAATTAGCAACTGAACAAAACTTCCGAAAAGGAAACGAGGCCGAAAATCTGTGAGCAGACACCAGTTGGGCCGCAAAAAAATTTCTTTTGTAAACAATCTTTTAAGTTTCAAGCCTCCCCCCGATGTTACCCAGTAGTAAATAGTATCCACAAGTAGTTTTATTTAAATTTTCATCAAATTGAGCATGTCAGCTGCATAGCAGCATCATAAGTGATCCAACTGCTTTTAACCCGAAAAAACTGTTAACCCGAAAAAATGTCAACATTCTTATTTGATAACGCTTGGTAATCGCAAGCGTAATAATTGGGAAACAAGGTACCACAAAAAAGGAGCCCAGAAAAAAAGCATAGCCAACAGACAGTTGCCAACAGACAGTTGGAAAAAGAGTCAAAGAACGCAAAAAAAAACAAGAAAAAAATATTTTGTTTTTCGACAACTTCAAATTTTGCAAATTGAACAGAAGATAATGCCCTTAAAGCTCTTTACTACGCCAAAAATTTTTGAGCAGACACACGGCGCCCAAAACAAATAGTTTTTATCAGAAAAACATGAAAAGTTGGGCCGCAAAAAAATTTCTTTTGTAAACAATCTTTTAAGTTTCAAGCCTCCCCCCGATGTTACCCAGTAGTAAATAGTATCCACAAGTAGTTTAATTTAATTTTTCATCAAATTGAGCATGTCAGCTGCATAGCAGCATCATAAGTGATCCAACTGCTTTTAACCCGAAAAAACTTTTAACCCGAAAAAATGTCAACATTCTTATTTGATAACGCTTGGTAATCGCAAGCGTAATAATTGGGAAACAAGGTACCACAAAAAAGGAGCCCAGAAAAAAAGCATAGCCAACAGACAGTTGCCAACAGACAGTTGGAAAAAGAGTCAAAGAACGCAAAAAAAAACAAGAAAAAAATATTTTGTTTTTCGACAACTTCAAATTTTGCAATTTGAACAGAAGAAAATGCCCTTAAAGCTCTTTACTACGCCAAAAATTTTTGAGCAGACACACGGCGCCCAAAACAAATAGTTTTTATCAGAAAAACATGAAAAGTTGGGCCGCAAAAAAATTTCTTTTGTAAACAATCTTTTAAGTTTCAAGCCTCCCCCCGATGTTACCCAGTAGTAAATAGTATCCACAAGTAGTTTAATTTAAATTTTCATCAAATTGAGCATGTCAGCTGCATAGCAGCATCATAAGTGATCCAACTGCTTTTAACCCGAAAAAACTGTTAACCCGAAAAAATGTCAACATTCTTATTTGATAACGCTTGGTAATCGCAAGCGTAATAATTGGGAAACAAGGTACCACAAAAAAGGAGCCCAGAAAAAAAGCATAGCCAACAGACAGTTGCCAACAGACAGTTGGAAAAAGAGTCAAAGAACGCAAAAAAAAACAAGAAAAAAATATTTTGTTTTTCGACAACTTCAAATTTTGCAATTTGAACAGAAGATAATGCCCTTAAAGCTCTTTACTACGCCAAAAATTTTTGAGCAGACACACGGCGCCCAAAACAAATAGTTTTTATCAGAAAAACATGAAAAGTTGGGCCGCAAAAAAATTTCTTTTGTAAACAATCTTTTAAGTTTCAAGCCTCCCCCCGATGTTACCCAGTAGTAAATAGTATCCACAAGTAGTTTAATTTAATTTTTCATCAAATTGAGCATGTCAGCTGCATAGCAGCATCATAAGTGATCCAACTGCTTTTAACCCGAAAAAACTGTTAACCCGAAAAAATGTCAACATTCTTATTTGATAACGCTTGGTAATCGCAAGCGTAATAATTGGGAAACAAGGTACCACAAAAAAGGAGCCCAGAAAAAAAGCATAGCCAACAGACAGTTGCCAACAGACAGTTGGAAAAAGAGTCAAAGAACGCAAAAAAAAAACAAGAAAAAAATATTTTGTTTTTCGACAACTTCAAATTTTGCAATTTGAACAGAAGAAAATGCCCTTAAAGCTCTTTACTACGCCAAAAATTTTTGAGCAGACACACGGCGCCCAAAACAAATAGTTTTTATCAGAAAAACATGAAAAGTTGGGCCGCAAAAAAATTTCTTTTGTAAACAATCTTTTAAGTTTCAAGCCTCCCCCCGATGTTACCCAGTAGTAAATAGTATCCACAAGTAGTTTAATTTAAATTTTCATCAAATTGAGCATGTCAGCTGCATAGCAGCATCATAAGTGATCCAACTGCTTTTAACCCGAAAAAACTGTTAACCCGAAAAAATGTCAACATTCTTATTTGATAACGCTTGGTAATCGCAAGCGTAATAATTGGGAAACAAGGTACCACAAAAAAGGAGCCCAGAAAAAAAGCATAGCCAACAGACAGTTGCCAACAGACAGTTGGAAAAAGAGTCAAAGAACGCCAAAAAAAACAAGAAAAAAATATTTTGTTTTTCGACAACTTCAAATTTTGCAATTTGAACAGAAGATAATGCCCTTAAAGCTCTTTACTACGCCAAAAATTTTTGAGCAGACACACGGCGCCCAAAACAAATAGTTTTTATCAGAAAAACATGAAAAGTTTTCAAGTGCCCCTCAAAAAAAATAGATTAAAGTCTTTTGCTCTTCAGACTTCTCAGAAATGAGCCTAAGTCGATAGATTATAAGTAAAAGCCGAAAAGGGAGAAAACAAATGGAAAAAAAACGAAAAAAAAACTGATATACTGAAATCGAGTTGGGTATTTTGCAACCAACATTAAAAAATTCAAATGAAACTGGCATTTAAAAAGCAGATTTGCTCAAAAAATGTCTGATCTCCATCTTTTAGTTAGTTGACGAAAATAGAGATGACCAAAATTTCAGTTTCAAACAATGCACGCTGAATATACTGCTGGAGAAGATTTTTTGCTGAGTTAGATCAAATTACTTTTCCTTCGAAGTCAATTTCTGAATAACAGATACTTTACCCATCCCCGAACTACCGACCCAACCCTCCCCCCCCCCCTAAATCGATGGGGGGATTGATTTTCAAATTTTTGGAACCAGTAAAGCAAATATGAAGGAACAAGGAGCGAAGCATGAAAATTCAATCAACGCCACTGACTCCACGGACTTAAATTTCAGTAGTCTTTTTTGTGAAGTAACCGAGCCATACAGCTTACATTGGTAGAAGGCGCAGTGAACGATGGTCATGAGACATGTATGGCCACTGAAGAAGTAGTTGCCACACATGTGGCCCCCGAAGATGCTCAGTCCACTGGTGATGTACATGATGAAGACCCTGTGCAACACCTCCGAGGAGTCCCTGCTCTTAGGCGCACACTCCATCGAGGACAGAGAGCGGGGAAGGACTGTTGCCCAGACGCAAAAACTTCTGATCACCAAACAGATCCCAGTCACTGCTAGCACACGTCGCAACACAAGGAACCTAAGCAAAAACACCTTTATGTTATCATTAATATTCAAAAAAAGATACAAAATTTGTTATATCGTACGTTATTTCAAAAACCATTTTGTAGGACAGGAATGATTTGTACAAACATAGCCAACAGACTGTTGGAAAAGAGTCAATAAACCCAACTAACAAAGAAAAACTGACTTCTAAATTTCAAAGAAAAAAATATGCCCGTAAAACTCATTGAATTTCAAGAAAAATTTATGATTGACACTTTTGCGACAAAACCAACCCAATTCGAGAAAACTGGATCATTAGGTCATTTTTTTTTATTTCACTGGGAAATCTAAAGATTAAATTCCATTTTTGAAAATAGAAGTCGATCACGTTTTTCATGACCTTTTTTAACTTTCGCTGTTCGATAGTGGAGTTTGCCTTCCTTTTAAACAAAATGAACTGAACTTAAAAAAAGATCAAAGTCAAACCGCGAAATAAAATTGAGCTTGAACAAGTTCAAGACTTTTCCTGAAAAAAAAACGAAAAACACAAAATCATCGCGATTTATATAAGAGTCGCAACTACGCTCATCGATTCTTTAACATCGCCAACAGTCAGTTAGAAAAGAGTATACAATAAGAGTAAAGAATAAGCTATTTTCAGCTTTTGAATTTCGAAGAAAAAAATTAATCCAACAGTCACAGTTAGGAAAGATGCGGAAACCGGAAAAAAATGATTTAAAAATTTAACGTTCCTCAGCTTTTGAATTCCGAAAAATATATCACGTCGAAGCTCTTCGAATTTCAAACACTGTTAACGTATGACACTTCTTATAATTATCCCATTAGGATAAAACTGGATCAAAAAAATTTGTTTATTCCGATGGGAATTCAGAAAAATTAAGTCCATTTTTTTGAAACTAGAAAGTCGTTCATGTTTTCGTGACCTTTTCACGTTTGCTGTTTGAAAGTGAAATTTACTTATATTTACTAAAGTTAACTTAAAAATGAAGTTGACGTGAAACAACTCATAAATCAAACCACGAAAAATCAAAATAGGGCGCAAAAATTTTTTTAAAGCTTTTAGTTATTCCAAGAATTGCGTATTCCTTTCGCCAAATTCGAGCTTACAAAGGCAATTGATATGGTGTATAATAGAACACTAGCAGAACTTATTCATGACACCGCTGCCAAGAGGTATAGTTCGCTGGTTGAGCAACTATTTAAGTGGTCGACAAGTCATCACTATTTTTAATTACCAAGTATGCCTGCACAGAATTGTTCACTGTGGGGTTCCCCCAGTGCTCTGTTTTATCGTTGCCTCTTTTTAATTTATACGTCCATGACGCCCCCCTGAACATGTTCGCCTTACCTCATACGCTGATTATTGCCACCCATTCGCAGCATCGTGCTCACTAAATGGTTATCTGCACCGCCTTTTTAATTTTTTCACCTCCCGTAAGCTATCATTCACGGCCTCTAAAGGATCAATTATTTTGCTTTCGTCATACAACGAAGGCTTAAACGAAACTCCAGTTGTCTTTTCAAAGAACGAGCCTCTTCCTCTTAAAAAATCCAAAAACTTGAGGAGTTACGTTTGACTCGACTCTCACACTGCAAGAGATCTGCTGACAAAGCTTGTCGGAAGATAGGTGTTCTGAAGGCGTTAAAATGTTTCTTTCGGAGTCAGATTAAAAACAAATTTTTTTATAACTTACAAAGCCTAAATTCGACCTTTTTTAGATTATGCCTTCCCAGCCTGGGCGCACACCGCCAGCAAAACTTCTATGATTGACCTGTAGGTCACTCGAAATCAAGCCCTCTGGGTTATCATTGTCTCAAGTTTTATGAGCTCCACTGCCAACCTGCACAGGGAAATCGAAATACTGAAAGTTCGAAACCATCACTCCGTTTTAACTTCTCAGTTTTTAATCTCCACATACCGTTCACATCACCCAAATTATATCAAGCACTCTTACCATCCCCATCCCCACGTCAAGTTCCACAATTCGTTTTAAAGCTTCTAAAGAGAACACAGGCTTCCTTTAACCCGACCGAAACCCGTCACTAAATCTAAATGACTCAGAAGAAGTGTCTACTTACGTTATTAACAACCACAAGTCTCTTCTTAAGCAAAACCATACAAGCCTCGTAACCAAGTTCCTAGCAGAAACCCCTATGTCATTTGTAATCCACCTCCAAGCATCGCCCCCTCTGAATAGTCCCTTCCGGTTACAGTCGGCTTATAAACACTAACCTCGCCCGCTTAGACAACCAAGTTTCCCCACTTTGCCCAAACTGTCAATTGTAACACCACATTAGTTGCCCTATTTCTAACTGCCGCAGAAACCCCTCCCCTTTTACTCCCGAAGTCCTGGTGGTTCCTTAGCCTGGAGATATACAAGCAGAACCCGCCCAACATGGGCTAAAGAAAGAAAACTCACAAAATACTTCGTATTGATTACTTGAAACGGTTCGCAAAAAAAGTGTTTCTAAGTAAGCCTGTGAGGCGATAGAATTTTAAGTATCCCAAACGATATCATAGAGTGATTAGATTTGCAACGTTTTTTCATGCACATTACGAGGCCAAACTGTGCATTCTGTGCTTTGTAAGCGGATTCCGCAACAGGCCAAAATCAGATTTGTCGCGGAATCCTCAACTTTGCTACTTTGATGTTCCTCGCTGTTTTGGACTCCACAAACAAATACCTAAAACACTGAAACGCTCAAAATAGCTCCAAAATAGGCGATTTTGCGGAATCCGCAACCGTATTTGCGGAACCCAGAACAGTTTGTGAAATCCGCAAACATATAATAAGACAATTGTATAGTTAAATTGAGCTGTTGCGGATTCCGCAACTGTAAGCGGAAACCGCAAATTGTAAGCGGAATCCGCAAAATGCAATTGGAACCCGCATTTTGTTAGCGGATTCTGTTTACAGATATGTATATGTGTAGTATAGCGTTTAAAATTATACCTTTTTTTTGTAGATGGTCACCAGAAAAATCAATCTCAATAACTTCATTGATCAACTACCAGTTGAAATACCTAACCTTTGACCTCAATTCCTGTCAACCCAACTTCGATCTCAAATCCTGTCAACTTCGACCTCAATTCACTAGAATTAAAATCTACTAGTTCAGTTTTTGGGATTAATGCAATCCCAAATACTGACCTAATTCGGCGATATGCTATGTGTTGTGTTTGCAAACACTCAAGTCAATGACTACAAATATTGAATTTATTCGGCGTTATTCTTCTAAAATCAGTATTTGGGTTTTATGCAATCCCAAACACTGGCCTAATTTGGCGGTATGCTATGTTGTGTTTGCAAACACTGTCAAGTCAATGACTACATATGTTGAATTTATTCGGCGTTATGCTTCCAAAATCAGTATTTGGGATTGACAAAATCACAAAAAATGACCTAAATTGGCGATATGCTGTATGTTGTATTTCCATATACTCTCAACCCAATGGTTCCAAAAATTGAATTTATTTGCTGTTCTGTTTCCAAAACACTAAAAGGTGACATCCACCGATTTACTTACATTTGTTCGTGGATTCCGCTGACAATAGTTAAGCTCTTGCCTTTAGTTTCCGCATTGCTATAGATAAGAATTCCATCTCTAGCTTTTAATTGTTTATATGCAAGTTCAGTAACAAACAAAATTCTGAATCCGCTGACAAATTTTGCGGAGTCCACTTGCATTTGCGGATTCCACTTACATTTTGCTGAATCCACCTACAGCTTGCGGAATCCGCTTTCATTTGCGGATTCCACTTACATTTTATGGAATCCACTTACATTTGCGCAATCAAGAACAACTAGCTATATTAGCTTGTTGCGGAATCTGCGGCACAATAAATGTGCCGACAAAATTTACGTTACAGGTATTTGTACGCGGAATCCACGGAAGTTTTTTAAGTGAATCCACTTACATTTTGGAAAATGTTCAAAGGTTTGTCTATGAGTTCCAGGAACACACAGACACAAAATTGTACGCTTATCCAGTGCAAAGTTTGGCCTCGTAATGCAAGCCATTCAGCATAAAACATTGAGTCAAAACGGTGGCAGTTACATTCAAACAGTTTGCTTGAAGTATTGCTCAAGTTTTGTCTGTTTTTATGACCAAAGAAAGACAGGTGTTGATTTGGTAAGCTTGTTTTAGTGATGAAAACATTGCCGAAAGACAGACAGCTTCGCAGGTACTGTGTAGTCATGAAATTGATTGAGTTGTTGTCTAGTACTTTTCTATCAAACTAAGCATTGAGCTCTCAGTCTACATCATTACGCCTTGCTGGCAATATATATCCTTTTCGGTTGACAAATCTGAACCTAAAACGGCTCTTTTTGACGTCGGAAATCAGTATTTCAGCACGCAAAAACCGTGACAAAAAAATCACCTGAACACGGATTTATGGCCGCTTAAGGCCAACGATATTGTCAACAATTTTGCATTAAACATATATGATTATTTGTATGCTATGCTTGTCGGCTGGTATGAGATTATGTTTGAATGCTCTTTGCTACGTAACCGTTTAATAGGTTGTATATTTACTGCTAGGCAACCGAATGAAATTGAAGGTTTTCACAGCAAGCATGTTATTAATTCTATTCAGCCCATACTATTTGGTAGCTCTAAAACCAAGCCAACTGATTCTCCACAGATACCTATCGTCATTAACGATGAAAGCCATAATTGACACCCTGCACATGTGAACAAAACTGAAATTTCACCACTCCCTCTAAAACTTATTCTTATTCGTTTTTGAGACCAATAGTTGTGTAAACTGGTTGTAAAAGCACAAACACTCGGTCTAAGTCCTTTATGCAGTTTCTCATGATAACTTCATTTTCATCAAACCATTTTGAAAACTTATTCTGATTCAAAATCTTTCAACGAGGGGGAAAACTGAAGGTGGTAGAGAAAAGCGTCAAAAAATATCACTTCAATTGGAAAGAAATCAGATGTCAATGCATTTCTGTTGACGGCCAGACATTCTGAGCTCAAAAGCTCTCAACAACTTGACTGAGTTTAGAACATGTAAACCAGAATATGGATGACTAGAGAAAGAATTGGAAAATAAAACATGTATTTTGTTCTCCTTGAATGAACTGGAATTATTCATAAAATAAACAAAGCGTTTAAATTTCTGCAGGCTATACAGTTATAGTACCGTTGACACTGAACTCGAAATGCACTAAAGATTGCATCATGTTGTTTTTATTACCATTTCTAACCATCTTGACACATATAAACAGCTCGCTTAAGGCAAGCGGTGAAGTATTAAAAAATGATTTGAAGTCCAAAAGTCAAACAAATCGTTCCGTTGGGACAATCGGTACTCTACCAAGTTTTACTTAAAGACATCACCAAAATCATTGAAATTTTGGCAATGTCCATAAGAAAAATCCAGCTAAAACAAAGTTCTTCAAAGAACTATTCAACAAACTCATTTCGACTCAATAAAAGGTGAAAGATCATTGCCTAATTTTATTTTGAAAGAACAGTAGGCTCCGAATGAATTCTTGTTTAGAGAAGATGGGCCGCAACAGCAGTTAAATTATTTTGGATAACTACACTATTGCACAGCACATGGTTCCACTAACATTCGACTAACATCGAATAGCCGGTTCATTTCATTTCGCCAAATTGATTTTTTTTTCGTCGAAATGGAAACGAAGATCTATTTCTTTGTTTTCGCTCAACTTGTTACAACAACTGAAATATTTGAACTGATTAGCAACTCCGCAATATGATTCCACAATCGATACTTCTGAAAACTAACACTTGATCTACGGTATCACCCGTTGAAACGGTCCTCTATTGCAAGTTCAATTTCATAGTACTCAAAAAAACACAAAGACCTTTTGTACGCTAACGCTAAGTACAGATTTTGTTCAACTCGAATGATCATGTAGAGCGCCCTTATTTGCTCTGTAATACAGATTAAGACAAAATAAATGACCTGTGTTTGTGAAAGAGGATGACAGTAGTGAAGACAACGAAGAGAGCGAACAGGAGTATCTCGGACCACTGGCCAGCCCGCTTCACCATCGGCACCCTGCTCAGAATGATGTCTGGCAGCACAGGACTCTCCAGGTCCATCCGGTCATTGCTCTTCACAACTGTCCAGATCATCAACATTTGCGCCAGTTGTTGGAACACGAACGCTGAATCAAAACACTAATATTACAAAATTTGACACAACAGAGCTTGAGCGCGCACAGTTTCACCTGAAGCCAACAAAAGCTCTATTTTCATTTTCCACACTTAGCAAAGCGTACTACAGCTTACAATATTTACGGATATACCAAAACTTTTAACGCGAAGCCGCATTTTCCAACAACTGCGATTGAAATACTGATAGAGAAAATACAAAAAAAGGGATCAGACAATTGGAAAAGCATCAATCAAAAGAAACCAAAAAAAAGATTGGCACTTGTTATTTTTCAATAATCGAGTTGCGTAGAGAACATATATCACGTGAAAGCTCTTCAAGTTTCATGAACCTTTTTGATTGTCACTATTTTTGATAAAATTAACCAACTTGAGAGACCACGAGCCGTTTACAGATAAGTTTTAAACAGGGATACCAGGTTGCTTTGAAAACCACCGAAACGATTTTATTACTGCTAACATTCATCGACATACAAACCAGATTTCGTACCACTTGCAAGACACTACTAATAGAAAAATACAAAAACATAGCCAACATACCGTTGTAAAAGAGTCATGAACTCGAGGAAACAGAACAAAATACTGATTTCTTTTATGAAAAAACTTCAACTTTCGAATTTTAAAGAACAAAATATAAGGCCTTAAAGCTATTTGAACTTCAAGGACAATTTATGAGTGACACTTTTTTGATTTAACTGACCAATTTTAGAGAACTTGCCCCATAGATAATTTTTTCGTTCGCTGGGAAATCTTTAAATTAAATCCACCTTCGAAACTATAAGTCGATCGCATTTTTTTTATACCTTAACACTTTTGCTGTTCGATAGTGGAGTTTGCCTCCCTTTCAACAAATAAAATGATCTTAATAAGAAATCAAAAAACAAACAAAAAAACTTCGGGAACAGCGTGAACAAACTTCGAGACTTTCTCCTACAAAAATCGAACAAAAATCACCAAGAACTATATAACAAACTTCACTACGTTCACCATTCTTGAAAAATCTAAAATTTTCGCCCTTGAAACGACGCAATATCAGGCGACTAAGCTGATATAACATAAGCAATAAATAATCAAAAATGATGCACTTTGTGCTTAAGTACGTTCTTATCCAACTATACTGAATTGTCTCCATACCAAAACAAGGAGAGCTGATTGCTGTGCAAGAAGCACAAAACGTTGAGAACAAAAATTATGATGTCGTGTTGTGAAGTTCTTTTTGATGACGTTCTTATTTCAAATGGTGTCGTGTTTTATCCGTGGTCTGATGAGAGGATCTGAAGTAACCGTGCAACTGAGGGTTATTTGAAAATAACAGAGGCGAAGCCGAGCTTCGAACCACTAGCAATACATTACAAAACAGCCACTAAATCGAAAGATAAATCGCAAAAGAATCAGAAATGTCGAAATCAAAAGAAATAAAAAAGGGTATCAAAAACTCATAACAAGACAGTAGAAGGTTAAATAGAATCAGCCCCCTCAATACACAAAAAAAATTTCGCTCATCAAACGATATAATATGAGGCCAATAAGCCGATATAAAAACAGGCCGAAACTTATCATTCCGAGAAAAAAATTATAAGAAAAAACTTAAAAACTAATAAAAAGTTATTTAAGCCCCATCACCTTCAAAACACACACACAATTTTTTTTCGCTCAATGAACGTCAAAATATGAGGCTAATAAACCGATATAAAAAAGGGTCGAAACTTATAAAGCCAAATCAAATAGAAAAAAAAATTTTTTAAAAGAAAAAGGCTTAAAACTGATGAAAAGTTGTTTAAGTCCCATCCGCTTCATTACACACAAACGTACACATTTTTTTTTAGCTTATTGAAGGACTCAATATGGGGCCAATAAGCCGAAATAATAAAGGCCGAAACATATTTATCCAAGAAAGAAAAAATTTAAAAATGAAATTACAAAAAAAAAACAAGTAGAAAAAATTACAACCAATCTAAAAAGCAGATTTCGAATAGGACTGATATTCAAAATGCTACCATACTCAAAATATGTCTTTCGCAGTTTCCTACAGAGATGACTGCTGCAGTTCAGAGTGCAACTGCTGAACATGGAGATCTTGAAATTGGAGATCATTCTGTGGACAAAATTGTTTACTGGGAGAAAAAGTCCAGTTCCAGTACCCGATTGCAATACCCTTGCTTATCGCAAGGGTTATAATATATAATCTATATTCGACATGATTTCGTTTCAAAATCCTAGCAAGCACAATGTATCTGCAGCGGTAAATTTGTTGCTAATAGAGGCTTTCAGAATATGAGTTCAGATGAGTCCTGTGAACAAAGTTATTTACGGAGGAAAAAATGTAGTACTCGATTGCAATAACCTTACTTATCGCAAGGCTAATTACTCGTCTTAATCTAAATGCAGCAAAATTGGACAGCAACCTATGCAGAAAACACATTAAACCGACGAAAATATTTTCAGCAGTAATATGGCACCTTTACCATTTCTGCACTAGATGTATGTAGGACCCAATGAGTCAGTAAGTGATTATATTAGACAAATTGATTTCCAGAGAATCGTTTCGCGAAAAAATCATCATATCAATTTGCAACTCACCCATGAATGTCTTTTTGAGTTCGTTTCGTAGTTGCTTGTTGTGCATTACATTTGTTTTCGGCTTTTGGTCGCATATTTCCACAGACGTAATATCTATTGATTCGTGAATGAGGCCTTTGATGTCTGAGTAAGGTGGCAGGGAGCATATCGAAAGAGCATCCGATGATTTATCCTCTCCCAAATGTTCCCTGTGACTTACATCTTCTACGGCTGTTACATCTTGGTTGTCTAATAATAAATTGCTTGAAGAGTTATTATTACTATGAGCCAGTCCATTAGTTCTACTAGTGAGTTGTGAACCGCTAAAGCCCTCTGATGACACTACTCCCGTTAGGTTACGGAAGTTTGAAGTGCTGCTAATTGCTGGGTTACTTCCCCCTGAGTAGTAACTAGGAGGGAAGTCTATGCCTAAGCTGCCTCCAGATGTTAAGCTGTTGTAATCTGGGGCAGTTGTGTTGTGATTGCTTCCATATTGATATGACATTGCTAAAACAAGAAACGATATTCAAAATATGTCTGAACAAACATTTCAAATAAATGTTTCTTATACAAATACTCGCTGAAAAAGCTTAAGTTATATATACTTTACCTCGCTTATGCCCTTTCGAAAGCTGACTACCGGGAGTTCGGAGGGAGGGCCCGTCTGAACCAGCCGCAGCCCCATTAGACCCTGCGCCCATCTACAACTAAGGTCTCCAATACGAAGAAAAGTCGATGAGAGAAAAGGGAGAAAGAAGCGAATGACTTCTTATGAGGACTAAGCCGAGCCAAACCTTCTGAAATCAAGAAACTTAATTTTCTATATTACAGTTCAGAAACTAGAAGCTGTGAAAGTTCGTTCATAAGGAAAACTTGTAGAGAGCAAACACCTTTTGAAATACTTCGCTTGCCCTCTAACATTTTCACTAACGTTCAGGTATCTAAATCGATATATGACACATCGATCTGTAAACATAACTTTTGCTTGTAGCGACAGTACCACAAAGCCGATTGAAGATTAAGAAGCTATCACCAGCTGCTATGCTTGACAATTTGGCAGTTTTGTGCAGTATGCTAGGTGAAACCGTTTTAATAAACACTTGCATCGTTTGATCATTTAATTGCTCAAAACCCAGAGGCGAATAGGAACTTCGCAACACTGGCGATACAAAAACATGCCAGATATGGTAGTGCGTAAATATGTGTACAAGTAGAAAGAAAATATATTCAGAAAAATGAAAAACCACATTTTCCTAGCTTCAACGTTTTCCAGAAAAACGTTTTTTTTTCCAGAAAAAAAATCCATTCACTAAGACCTTTACGGTTCAAAAAACTACCCGACGAAGTCATTTTCACTACAGTGGAAACCGGTTTATTTCGATAGTGTGTAATCAGAATTTGAAAAAATTCCATAACTTTACGAAATAAATCTCGACTCCGTGATTTGTTTCTGAGTGAACAAATAAAAAAAATGAAAAAAAAAGAGCTAAATAACTCAAGTACTTCCACCAAAAGGCATATTGAAACAGCTTTTAAAAATATAAAATATAGCTGAAACTAGCTTTTGGCAACAAAGCTGACATTAAGAGGCCGACAAATAATAATAGTCAGATAACAATATTCCAGTTTGCAAAAATTACAGATCCTGGCCTGACTCGAACCTCATCCACAGCGCTTAAATAGTCCCGAAAATTGATTATTATACATAATTATGAACCAAACGATCAAGTTGCGTACTGATTCTACAAGACAAAGTTTCATTTGCAAGCCTTTGCAAAAATTTAAAAAACATATATCGTATGTCTCTACAAAGGAGTCGTTTTTAGCGAATTTGTGGCACAAAAAAAAAACAACTACAGCCAGAAAACAAATCATTCTATGAATTATTCTACTAGTCCAATTTTTTTTTACTTTTAAAGGTAATCAGAAGGTCAAAGGTATCATAGTAACCGAAGTTACAGTCAGGAGTCCCTTCATCACGTATTCCAGTTTTTTTTAAAAAAAACCTACATTACAAAAGGGGCCCTTCCGTTTAGTTACGGTAAGTGCACAAGCTGGATAGGGCCATACCAGCGTTATAAAAATGCATATATATATATATATCAGCAATGAAGTCACAAATCAGCATTAGAGGCATAGTCGTAATGTTAATTGATCTTAGCCGTCCTTCCTCTAAAATAGCGCTTATGGAGTTGTAGATAAATTGAACTTTGCGTAGCGATCTGCACCCCCTTATTGTAACATTCGCCCAAATACTACACAGCGACGGAGCGTAGAAAAAGTACCTATTAACCAGGCATTTCGGGACCCGACATTTTTCAAACCCGAAACCCCATTACCCGATAAGCTTAAACCCGAACCCGAACCCGACGGTTTCTTCAAACCCGAACCCGACATTCATTTCAAACCCGAAACCCGGCCCGAAACCCGAAAAAGATCTCAAAACCCGATTACCCGACCCGATACCCGACATGCCCGATTTTCAGGTCGATTAAATGGTATGAACGTTGACGCAATAAATTTGATGCGTTTTTAGAGTGTAACTTTCTCTTACAGTGAACAATAAAAATAGCTGTAAAAACAATATTTATGCAATAAATGTGTATTGAAATGGGAATGTATATTGAAAACAAAAAAGTTCAACGGAAATATAAAGCTGTATTATTATGAAATGGGAACGTACAAGTACGTATTAAACGCATTCCTCGGTGATTTTCAAGAACACGTTGCGTGTAAAATTCTCCGTCTTAAGTCGCGATTGAATATCCTTCTTCAAGTACTTTGCATAACTGAACGCTCTCTCAATGTCAGACGTATTGCTCTTTTTACATGAAAATACACTTTTGCAACGAACGCACTTCCGCGCTTCTGTTTTCTTCTTGTCAATGAAACCGCACAGAAACTTGTCTTTCTTTCAACTTTGGATTTTTTGTTTCAAATATCCGCCACTCTTCCTTCATCGTACAATGCAATCGCGTTCAGAAATGAAATAGAAATAAAAATTAAAAAAGTAAAAAACCTCAAACAAAAGAAAAATTGGGAAAGTTTTTGTCGAAACCGAAAACAGCAAACAAAAGTCGGGTTTTAGAAATCCGACATAATTGAATACCCGAACCCGAACCCGAAAATTTGTTGAACCCGAAACCCGACCCGAAACCCGAAATTTGTCTCAAAACCCGAAAACCCGACCCGATACCCGAAAACCCGAACCCGAACCCGAAATGCCTGCTATTAACGACTGGCAGGCGTCAGTTACCTTACTTCTACTCGTTTTTCACCGTCTCGACCTTGCCAGTTGATTTTCTGGTCTGTTTAGGGCTCAGTAAAAAGTTACTATTTTTAGGCCATCAGTCAAACGACTTTTGATCAGCTTTCGTTTACATGCGAACACAACCACATAGCTGAGTCTCGGATCCTCAGACTACGTGATTGCTATCAAAAACACGGCTCGAATACCCTTTTTTAATATGATTTTGGTGACAGTTCTATTTAAAGTCCATTGGAGATGGATTGACCCTTTCCTCTTCCTAGCTACTCATATTCTAAAATATCAAATAATACCGGTATTTGCCGGATTCGAAGCTGGTGCAGAAGCTGCTATTCATGCTATGAAAGAACTCTACGAGGAAGAGAACTCGGAAGCTGTGATAATGATCGACGCCTCAAATGCCTTCAACTCCATGAACAGAGCAGTGGCTCTAAAATACATACAAGTACTGTGCCCAACGATTGCCACGTATTTAATAAACACATACAGGCAGCCATCGCGCTTATTTGTGATAGGAGGTGGGGAATTAAAATCAACACCAGAAGACTAATCAATGCATTGCGAATTTATGGAAATGGTACGGGAAACTAATTGTGTGCCATTCTGCCAGATTGGCACAGAGCAACCTTCGGGCGACACGAAGAAAACGAATAAAGGCCTTAGGAACGAAAAAGTATTGCGAAGGAGGGTAGAAATATTCTAGAATTTTTATTTTTAAAATTTCGATTGAAGAGTGGATATTTCTCAGAAATACAAAAAAGACGGCCATTTTGACGAAAAACGACGAAAAAACAGAACAACGACAATTATTGTGGAAAACAGTCGCATGAGAGACGAAAATTACGAAGCCTCTTATCGTAGCAACAACACACGAGAAGACTCTTAGCTGCGGAAATTGGTGGAGAAGGAAGCTTCAGTGGGGAAGGAATATTCCACGGAACCCTCCCGTGCCACAAATTGGAAGAGATAAGAACGTTATCTCAGGAAGATTACGGGAGCGGAGGCTTGCTCTCCCAGAGACTGTTTTATGTGAAGGGACTATATAAAACTAACTTTGTAGCTACTTGGATGTCGTAGAAGTCTGAATTAACACCGTTATAATTTGATATTTTAGAATTTGAGTAGCTAGAAAGAGGAAGGGGTCAATCCATCTCCAATGGATTTAATATAGAACTGTCACACAAAAACATATTAAAATAGGTTGTTCGAGCTGTGTTTTTAATGGCAATCACGTAGTCTGAGAATCCGAGACTCAGCTATGTGGTTGTGTTCGCATGTAAACGAAAGCTGATCAAAAGTCGTTTGAATGATGGCCTAAAAATGGTAACTTTTTACTTAGCCCTAAACAGACCAGAAAATCAACTGGCAAGGTCGAGACGGTGAAAAACGAGTAGGATTAAAGTAACTGACGCCTGCCAGTTGTTAATAGGTACTTTTTCTACGCTCCGTCGCTGTGTAGTATTTGGGCGAATGTTACATAGACGTTTTTATGGCGCTCCGAGTTAGAGGCCTTAATGACCGTTATTGTACTAGTGGGAAGGTGCGTACCCTCCGTCTAGTACTATTTAGCTTTTTAACTTAGTTAACACCGAAAATTCCGGGGGCCTGAGGGTTAGGTGGGAAATCTAGAGCCCGCTTGTCCCGAGGTCCCAGGACCAAAAACAATTCCAGAGAAAGCGTAAAACCAAACAAAAATAGTGTATAACATAGAAAAAGCCAAAAACAAGTTTATTTGAAAACAAAAAAGTACCTAAAACAGTAAAAAATTCAAAAAAGACCAAAAACAATAAAAAACATAAAGTGACAGTTCATATGTTATTTCCGAACGAGATGTGATCTGACCTTCCTATTTGTTGTTGTTTCAGATTGATCTATATCATTTCTGATAGAAAGATTGTGTGTTTTGGTGAAGGGTTGGATACCCTCCCTTGAGTGTAATTTGAGTATTTAAGCACGTTAATGGTGATTTTGCCGGTGGCCGAAGGGTAGAGTGGCAAGCTGACCGACGTGTTCCACACTCAACAAGGACATCAGGGACAACATCCACAACGACTGTTGGGTATCGTTGAAACAGCTTTGGTATCGTTCGGGTACTATTTCATCAAAACTTAAGTGGTGGGGGGCACGATTGGCGCGGTCCGATTGTACCCTCCATCGATTACAAATTTCCGAGTTAAGGGTCTTAATTCGGGTATTTTGGTGCAAAGGAGGGTATAGTACTATTCATTAACGACTAATAATAGGTTATTATCCTTATTATATATTACTTATCTCCTAATTGGACCCAAGAAACACCCAAATTTCGTCGAAAATTATCGATTTTTGACAAACTAAAGACCCCCAAAATTTTGGATATCCGAGCTTTTCCCAACAGCAAAAAGCCTCTACATAGGGAGTAGCTACGTAGTTCAATCCGCCTAATTAAAGAAACTGCGTGAGAAAAGACTCAGTAAAAGTTGGAAAAAGCCAAAATTTTTCGGTCAAAATTTCGATAATTTTCTGAATTTTGTCAATCTGTTTTGGGGATCGAGTTTTTTAGTTTTTAGAATTAGAGCAATAAAATTTTTTTGTATTAGGAGCGTGCTAGCATAACGTGCTCGGCTGTCAGAAAAATTCTTGAGTAACCCTCCGAC